AGCAGACTTTGGGCTTTCAAATGTCAATGGTGTGCAACAGCAAAATTCGGTGTGTGTGTGTGTGTGCCCCCCCCCCCCCGCAGCTCCCTTTCAGCTCAGCACCCAGTGCAGGTGAGAGCATTGCATTCCCCATCATCGTCCTCTGTGGGCAGAGCAGCAGTGGAAAGTTCCTGACCTTTGAACCTTGGCATGAGCCCCTTCCTGCCCCTAAAACAAATTCTTCCTGGCACCAGAGATTTAAATGGCACTGCCAGGGCAAGCTAATTTTCAGCAGGGGGTCTATGTGTTGTATTGAGATGCCTGAAGTTAATCAAGATCCAGGATCTCATTCCATATTTATCAGTCTTTGAAAATAAATCTGTCAAAAATAAGGAAGTGCAATGTTTGTGGGAGGCTGCAATACAAGTTGGATTTCAACAAACTGCTCAGCAGAGGTCCTGTAGATAAGCACAGAATATCTCATTTCTCTGGAACTCACACATAAAGCAGAGGTTGAAAAATCATACTATAAAATCAAGACTTCATCCAAAAGAGATTAACTACAGAGGGTTGAAAGAAAGAAGCCAACGTCACTAGATTAAAATAAATTATCTGTGATGAGAGTGTTATACAGCCTGACAATTTATATGCTTGGAAATTGGACAATCTTGCTTGGCTTCAGCTGAGATGTCTGTGGCAAGATCTGCAGCTTTTAAGGAACCTTCAAAGAAAAAAAGCTAGCTCAAAAAACTTCTAAAAATGGCCAAACATGATTTCCAAATACCTTATGTTACGGGTAAGCTAACAAGAAGCGGCTAAATTTAAAGACACTGGTTTATTGGTGTAATGCAAAACAAAAAGCAAAACAAAAAACCCCAAATTATCTATGCAGGCGTGCTCTGTTATTATTTTGTCACTATCGGAGAAAATTATGACAAATTTTGATTGAAAAATGTTGCTTGGGCCATTTGAAGGTATTTGTATGAACTCAAGCACCGTCACTGTGTTCCCATTTCAGTGACAAGAGCTTCTGCTATCCAAGATAAAAAGGTAAAGGTACCCCCTGACTGTTAGGTCCAGTCGCGGACAACTCTGGGGTTGCGGCGCTCATCTCACTCTATAGGCTGAGGGAGCCAGCGTTTGTCCGCAGACAGCTTCCGGGTCATGTGGCCAGCATGACTAAACTGCTTCTGGTGAAACCAGAGCAACGCACGGAAACGCTGTTTACCTTCCCGCCGGAGTGGTACCTATTTATCTACTTGCACTTTGATGTGCTTTTGAACTGCTAGGTTGGCAGGAGCTGGGACCGAACAATGGGAGCTCACCCCGTCGCAGGGATTCGAACTGCCAACCTTCCGATCGGCAAGCCCTAGGCTCAGTGGTTTAGACCACAGCGCCACCCGCGTCCCTGCTATCCAAGATACTCAGCCACAATAAGTTTGGAAATTTTAATCTCTCTAACCTGAGGAAAGAAGCTATGCAGGCAGAGCTGGTTCAAGTTTTTTGACATGAGAACTAGTCATAAATCGCTACCCATTACTTCCTCACTTTGGTGACAGCATAAACTGTGTAATATCAAGCATGCTAAAACTATAGTACTCCATGTGTGCATGGCAGTTGGTTCCCAGATGTGGCTCCTGGCGCCATGTTCCTTCAGCTAATTACCCTTTTTTTCCCCCTCTTAAAAAAACGGTTCAGAACCAACATATGCTTCTCTCTGTCACTGAGCACATTCCCTAATACACTGCAGATGGGATGCATTCCATGGCCTTGGGAACTGATTGCTGCAAGGGAGACTCTGACCAAGAGGGGGCATTTCTCTGTATTCAGAAGTGAGGCAATGAATTTAAAGCTTATGGATCAAAGGCTGTACTTGATCCCCTTCAGCAGTTGTGGGGAACCTTTTTGGCTCTGAGCTAGATCTTTATCAGATCCCAGCCTTGTGGGCCAAATTTGACAGGTGGGTGAGGCCAATCATAATGAGATCAGGTGATTGTGCACTTTGAAGTCCCAAAGTTGGGGCTTCAAAGCTCTACACAAGACTTGCAAAGAGGTGCTTTGACGTGCATAAAGAGGAGGAGCCTGCTTTCCCTTGCACACAACTGGCAACACACTTTAAGACACCTCATTGTGCACTGGTAGCCACATCTCTATCTGCATCACAGGTGACATCAGGTGTGGGACTGGTGGGTGTGGTTAGGGGAAAAATGCTATTGCAGGCCAAATTTAAACCCCTGGCAGGCTAAGTTTGCCCCATGGGTTGGAAGTTCTGCACCCTTGCTCTTCAGTTGTTATTGGTATTAACTAAGGGGTGTCTAAGTGGTTCTTTGTTGTTTTATCATTACATTTTAACATAAATCAAACAAACACAACAATACTGTTAATAATATCATTTAATGCCAAAAAATGGGCTTCTAAGCTGCTTACAAGTAAAAAAACAAGAAACCAAATGACAAAAGCATTGAAAAAAATATGAACATCCATAAGAAAAATATGCACTCAAACAATCCAATTTATCTGACAAATTTCTGTTTCCTATTCTGGTGAGGTTCAGTATTCTATAAAAGCCGCATGACTCACTCTACTGTGTGGCTGGCATTTCCTTTCTCGTCAGTATCCAGACATCCCAGGGTTTCATGCCAGGTTAAGAGGGTTGTTCCAATGAAGCATGACTGGGGTTTGCTTGTCTGCCATCTTCTTGGGAGAAATGTCCAACTGCACTCCAAGAAGCAAAGGATCAAGTAAAGGATGATGCAAGGATACTGACAGACATAGACACAACATGGAGTCACCAATAGCCATGAACAAAAGGGCTAAAACCTTTTTGCATGGGCAAGTGATCTCTTTTTGTTCATAGCATTCCTTTTCTAGCAATCTCATCACCCAGGATCTCACCTATGTGCTCTAAGGTGAACAGAGTGATATATTCCCAGCAATGCCTACCCTGTTATTTTAGATACACATTTCCTGGCCATTGCTGAAGTGCTGGTTGCTGCATAGTTCAGCTCTGTACAAAAAGGCCCCCGTGCATTCACTGAACACATGGACAGGAGAGCAGAGCTGTCAGGTCTTCATTCACTTCCAAAAATTCACCAGAGGGTCTGAATTGAGAGCCTATGCATGTACATTCAGATGTAGGCTCTCTGTTCAGTCCTATTGCCAAATGTGTAGAGCTTGTGGGGGAGGAGGAGGGGGAGGAGGAGGAGGAGGAGGAGGAGAAGAAGAAGAAGAAGAAGAAGAAGAAGAGGAGGAGGAGGAGGAGGAGGAGGAGGAGGAGGAGTTTGGATTTGATATCCCGCTTTATCACTACCCGAAGGAGTCTCAAAGCGGCTAACATTCTCCCACAAGAAACACTCTGTGAGGTGAGTGAGGCTGAGAGACTTCACAGAAGTGTGACTAGCTCAAGGTCACCCAGCAGCTACATGTGGAGGAGCGGAGACGTGAACCCGGTTCCCCAGATTACAAGTCCACCGCTCTTAACCACTACCCCACACTGGCTCTCACTGGGGAGGGCAAAGTTGGCAGGAATGTTATATGGAGTTGGGTCAGCAGCATAGGATGCTAGTTGGAAATCTACCCAATGTTGGGGCTGTAGAGATTGGACAGAAAGAGGTGGGGCAGATATTTTGGGCTCTTCAGCAATATGCATGTTAACTTCTTTTGACAGTTATTATTATTATCATTAGGGCAATATTTCACTGTTAATTTTTGTGAATTTGTAAAAATAAAATAAAATAGTACAAATCTATCTTACCCATCTTATGGCAATGGATTCCATCAGTTTATTGTGCATTGTGTGAAGAAGTACTTCGACTGTTTGTTCTGAATCTACTTGCAACCAAATTTAGTAGCTGAATCCCGGAAAGGGTGAAAAATCCCTCTCTGCTAGCTCAACATTTTTCATGATCATCTATCTCAAGTCCCTCCTTTTAAAACAACAAAAAGCATCTAAAACTTCAGCCTTTCTATGAAGTTCTTCAGTCACTTGATCATTTGTCATTTTCTATATTCCCTCCAGCCCTATAATATTTTAGAGATGGGAGGAACAGAACTGGCCACAGACTTTCAAGTAGGACGACAAACTAGGAAAAGATGAACAACCAAATGGAAAGATAAAAGACCCTGGGAACCAGTATATTAGTAGAAGCAGAGTCAAGAGGACAGCAAGAAAACATCCTGGAGATGACGCGTACCTTGAGCTTTGTCGTTAAATACATGGCTGGAAGCACTTGTAGTTATTTGAGACTCTTCTGCTGAAAACAAAAGGCGTATTCACAGAAGAGTCTCAGGATAGCATTCAACAGACGTTTCCACAGACACTCCATTCATGTCGGGCCACCTTCATCAGCGCTGTGAGATCCAGCACAAATCCTCAGAGGCAACAACCCCAGCCTTCGAAGTAGCTCGGCCAGAAAACCAGACGTGTGTCAGTGATGGTCTGCTGTCAAAACAAGGAGTGTAGAAAGCTGTCCAGCAACTCCCAGTTTACAAGTTGGTGTTTGTTTACTTTAATATTTCTTCTGCTTTCACTTAAACAGAACACCTCTGAGACAGGGGGAGGGACAGAGGCAAAGGCCAGCCCTGTGGGTGTCTCAAGGCCAGACGCTATGGGGGTGATGGTGTCTAAACATGTACATTCATATTAACAATGGCCCAGACCACACACTGTGAAGGTTGGCACACAGCTCTACATGTAAACAGGTGCATACAAATTAGAGAGAAATCCAGGGTGCATAAAAAGTGGAAACCTTTTTTTGAAGACATTTGTGATTGAGAATGCACAAGCTGTATGAAACGTTGGGACTGAAGGGAGCTCAGTGTTTCTGAACAGCATTTTCAAGCTGTTCTTTGTTCATTGATCACATTGATTCAGTGCCCTCTTAGCAATACCATTGGTGTGCCAAGCTACATTTTTTGCAAATATATACAGAGGCATTTTTGTGGCTGTCCCACAACTACGCTTAGGGATTCTCCAAAGTATAACACAAGGCATTTTTCTTCAGAGATTTTTACTTTCCATTTGTGTGTGTGTGTGTGTGTGTGTGTGCGTGCGTGTGCGTGCATGCATGCACACACTCACACACACTTGCCCTTTTGTGAAGGGTGCATGGGTGTAAACTTTAGCATGTATCCCTTTAAACAATTTGAAAGCAAGGGTGCAGTCCTTTCCTGTTCACCCTTTCCAAGAATTTCAAGGTGGCATGTGTCCAGGTTTTATATGAACCCACCCTTCAGATTCAATAAAATGTGTGTACTGTATATTTTGTTTTCAGGTACATGTGCCCAAATTGTAATATGAGTCCCTTTCAGACCTTATAGAATTAACTTGATGCTTCAGATTTATGATGGGTGGGCTGGGATTTTAACACTTAAAAAACACCATATTTTATTATTTTGCTATTTGTTTTTAATATAGGATTATATGCTTAGAACATCTTGGCTAAAGCACACTGGAAATAAACACAATACAGTAATAATAATTTTGCTTTCCTGTGTTGCTTTTGGAAATCAGGAGCAAACATTAGAAAACCAAGGGGCAGGGGCACTTAGATCCCAACAAGGTATTTCAGTTCTAGGCCACTTCCACCCCATACAGTGGTACCTCAGGTTAAGTACTTAATTCATTCCGGAGGTCCGTTCTTAACCTGAAAATGTTCTTAACCTGAAGCACCACTTTAGCTAATGGGGCCTCCTGCTGCCGCCGCGCCGCCAGAACTCGATTTCTGTTCTTATCCTGAAGCAAAGTTCTTAACCTGAAGCACTATTTCTGGGTTAGCAGAGTCTGTAACCTGAAGCGTATGTAACCTGAAGCGTATGTAACCCGAGGTACCACTGTATGTTTAAAGCACTATTATACCACTTTAACAGTCATGACTGCTCTAAAAGGATATTGTGAACTGCAATATGTTAAGGGTGCTAAGAATTGTTAAGAGACCCCTTTCTCTCTCACAGAGCTACAACATCTAGTTTCCTGGGGAAAGGGATTGATTGCTAAACTGCTCTGAGAATTGTAGCTCTGTGAGGGAAATAGGGGTCTCCTAACAACTCTTAGCACCCTTATTTATCAAGTCATCATTCCCAGGACACTCTGGAGGAAGCCATGACTTAATCATCATTTAAATGCATGGTGCACATGTGGCCTAACTAAAAACAGGGTTGCCATATTTCAAGAAGTAAGAACCAGGACATCCCACAGAAATTGTTGAACTTTTTAAAGGGGGGGAAAAGCCAAAACAGGTGATTTTTTGATTCACTTGCCTAAGATCCAGGACAAAGCGCCGCCTTTTGAAACCTCAATTCTTTGAAATTCCAGTAATGTCCAGGGAAATTCAGTCATGTGGCAGCACTACTAAAAGCAACAACTCACACCTTATAACAGAGGGCTAAATTGAACTTTCTCTCATCACTTTGCCTCAAGGTACATAGTCTTTATATTAATAACTGACACAAAAGCACCTCTCAAGCATTTCCAGCCACTCCCATTTTCAGTTCTGATCAGTCTGCAGCAAGCACAGATGCTACAAGTGGCAAAAACATACTGGGCATGTGGCACACATCAACAAGAGGAGCCACAGGCAAGAGTTTTTGGAAGGGATGGATACAAGTCCTAATGCAATGAACTTAATAACGAAGCTGAGCACCGGGGCCACATAATGTTGTTTTATAAAAACAAAACAGCCCAACCGCAGTGATGTGAAATAGCAATACTAACACAAGGTTATCCTTTGCTGCAGACTTCTATACTTATCAGTCCAGCAGATTAAATGTGTTTACAGATAATTTGGTGAAGTGGGCCAGGGAGAAACTCAGTTTGCTTACAGACTCCACTTTCTCTGTTCCATTAGGTTTATATGAGCAAAAAGGCTTACTTGTCAATAAATAAATCCCATGCAAGTTAGATGTTGATTTATGATTCCCCATTTCAGAATTAATGGTCCTTAGAGCTCGAGGTAAAATATTGCAACAGACTGTATAATCTGAAGCACTCCAATTTGGTGTAGGCTACAGCATCAGGAGTCAAGAAGGGGGAGTTTATTTTCCACCCCCAGCCATTACTATTGACATCTGACTGCCCTTGTCAAACACACATTATGAAGCTGGAACCCGCTGGGAATAATTTAGCTGTGTCTACCACTTGATTCTGTCCTTTTCTGTTATTCACTTTTTCAGCATCTTAGACCATCTGCAGAACCTTAGCAAGGACAGCAGTTCCTGGACAGTGAGCTACAGGGAAGTGGTGCCAGCAGTTACTCTAACTCTTTTTACACCTCTGTCCATCTGGCGTCAAAGTCAAAGGACAGAGCAGCCCCTGCAGTTGTGGCTGAAAAGGCCATTCTTCTCAATTGTATTGTCCCTTCCAAGTTCTGGTGTCAGAGGGCAAACTACATCAGACAGCGCGAAAAGCAGTATCTGCTTATCTCAAAAAAAGGGGAAAAAATAACCAGGAGGGAAATTTCTCCAGATCCTAAAGCTTCCACACTTTTGCCCCCAATAATGAAAGTGGGGGAGGGGAGAGAAAAGAATTGATGCTGAAATATACCAAAACTCATTCTGTTTTCAGGACACCTGAAGTGAGAAGGGAACCTGAGCTCATCATTGCTTCCACTGCCAGTTACAGTGGTACCTCAGGTTACATACGCTTCAGGTTACATACTCCGCTAACCCAGAAATAGTGCTTCAGGTTAAGAACTTTGCTTCAGGTTGAGAACAGAAATCGTACTCCGGCAGCGTGGCAGCAACAAGAGACCCCATTAGCTAAAGTGGTCTTCAGGTTAAGAACAGTTTCAGGTTAAGTACAGACCTCCGGAATGAATTAAGTACTTAACCCGAGGTACCACTGTACTTCTTACAGCTCCAAGATCTCAGGTGGGGGAAAGAGAAGCAGGATTTGACATGCTCCTGCAACCTATTCTTACTATTAAATAAGAATAATAATTTATTACTCATCCTTCATCCCAAGGTCACAAGAATTTAAAATACAATCACGAAAATAGGGAGGGTCCTAAAAATATGCATACAAATGTCAAAGGATAGGCTATCTCGTCACTGAGAATTTGTCCACATTTGAGCAGCATTTAGCACTTTTCACCCCACTCAAATTAGACCTGGAGCAGTCCACACAGGGGGAGAAAGTAAGGAGTACCTAGTACAGGTTCGGTGGCCGTTCTCCATGCATCTAGGCATCACCTAGAACAAGGCAGGCTTTGTGCTGGTGCCAGCCCACAAGGCATAGTTTATCCACCTCTGATCTAGCAAGTTGCCAGCATCCTTTCAATCAGTAACACAGTTCCCACACAACCTTTTCAAAGAAAATGGATTATCTAAAATCTCTCTGCAATTTTCAGAAGGAAGAATTCTCTCCTTTTATACAATTCCCATGAATGGTGGAACAAAGCACAGGTTGTTGACTAGTTCATTTTCTTTGTAATTACATGCACCTTGAGTGTTGTGTTCCTGCTGAAGCCTTTGACAAGGAGATCTGATGGAAGTATGAAATAACTGGTCAATGAATGACTGAAATACACTGAGCAACTTTAGACTTCATACTACAAACTGAGTCAAAAGCAATTGTGACTAATTGCTTGTGCCATTAAGAATAGTAGAATCACAGAATTGTAAGGAACTATGAGGGTCACCTAGTCCAATCCCCTGCAATGCATGAAACTTTTCGCCCAACACGGGGCTCGAACTCATAACACTGAGATTAAGAGTCTTGTGCTTTACCAACTGGGCTATCCCAAGGGCCGCAAGCAACACAGAAGATGCTTTGTAGAGACATTATGAGTAAAATGGCCCCAGGCTGAAAATCATAACATGCCAATACTTGAATAGCATAGGGAATTTATTTTCTTCATTTGTGAATAAGAAAGCTGTGAGGAACACAGGATGGCAATTGATGTCATCATGACTGCTGGGAGGAGCGCAGAAAAAAAGAAACATCGTGCATCAGCACAACCAGATGCCTTCATCTGCCCCAGCAGCAACAAAACATGTCTCTCCTGTATCAGTCTCTACAGCCCAGTGGTGTAGCTTCATGCTCCAGCACCGGGGGCGGAGAGCAGGCAGGGGCGTGGCTGTCACGCGTCCTGGGGGTGTGACGCCCAGTGCAGGGGGAGCAGCCACGATGGCACCCCACTGGTATCGTGGTCCTGGGGGCACTGCACTCCCCCCACCCTCCTCTTCCTCCGCCAATGCTACAGCCACAGGAGACACTCTTACATTCCAATGGTATGACTACATCTCCAAAGGCACACTTAATCAACTGTCTACCGAAAGAGACGGATGGCAACCAATGGTGTCTTGTTAAATTGGAAAACAAAACATTAAATGTATCATAGGGAGATAAGAAAGCATATAGCTGCAGGTGAGGCACTCACCAACTTTTCTAAGCAGTTTACACACACAAATACACACACACACACACAAAACTAAAATTAATCATTTGTGTACCATTTGTTCTTCCAGTAGGGATTGCTTGCTTATTTACATACTGCCTCAACCAAAATCTTAAATCCAATTAACAACCATACTTAGAGTATTATAACTTTAATACCTATGATACATTTAAATGAAGTTTTAGTGTGTTCAGGATTAACAAGGTTCCAGAATCATATATAAACTCTGCTGTGTCACGTACACTATGTAGCCTCAAGGCAGCCTACCGTACCTAAAATTAAAAACAAAAATAATAAAAGCAGTAATAATGAAAACTATAAAAACAGCAGAAAAACTGCAGAAACAATAAAAAGCAAATGGCAAAGCCAAAACTAGTAAAAGGGGCCCCAAATATTAAAAAGCATAATGAGGCTTCCAGTTATAGCTTTACTCAACTTTTAGCAGGAAAAAACAGCGAGACGTCTACTGCTGATGTGTGCAAGGATCCAATGGAAATACCTCGGGTTACAGACACTTCAGGTTACAGACTCCGCTAACCCAGAAATAGTACCTCAGGTTAAGAACTTTGCTTCAGGATGAGAACAGAAATCGTGCAGTGGCGGCGCGACAGCAGCAGGAGGCCCCATTAGCTAAAGTGGTACCTCAGGTTAAGAACAGTTTCAGGTTAAGAACGGACCTCTGGAACGAATTAGGTTCTTAACCAGAGGTACCACTGTACTGAAATTCCAGTAATGAAAACAAAGAGTCCCGTGGTCCCAATAATGAAGATGGCATTAGATAATTGCAAGAAAGAGGAGAACCACAGAACTCCAACCCACAGATCTAGCTTGGGAACTTTTTAATGACATATATCTTTAAAAAAATCTGGAAGTGTAGAGCTAAACAAGAAGAAACTGTGCCACCTTCTTTAAGAATCCAGAAATTCAGTGAATGTAAAAGCTTACCAGTTTAGGTATTCCGTTAAAATAATGTATTAAGCAGAAGAACATTAGGTAAGGTAGGCCCCAGAGTATTTAAAATAATGATTCAGACTGAATAATATCACTTAGGTCCATTATAACTTTTGTGGAGAAAAAGGGATAAACTACAGGTTTCCCTACACAGAGCAGTAAAATATGTCTGAATACTAACGAGACATGAAAAACACTCCAGCATATTGGGAAGGGAGAGCTAAATTCTGCTGCTAGTTCAGGATGGAAGAGGAGGAGCATAGACAGGAGGTTTTAACTTCAGCTCAGTTGTACTGTCAAGGTTTGGCTGCGGCAAGAGAAATTATATGAGCTCCAAGGCTATGTTGGGGCAGCTAAGCCTTCTTCAGTTAGTTGCCCAAAAGCCAGAATATTCATCCTTCTAGGTTAAAGGAAAGGATGCAAAAGAGAAGGTAGGTATGGACCAGAGTTCTCAATAGGACAATCCCAGAAGAAACCTCTATACACAGGAATTTGAACAACCTTTATAGGTGCAAAGCTATGTGAAACCCAGAATGCAACAAAAGGGCATATACAACACTGAAGACACATCTGATAGTACATATAGCAAACATATTGCCAAGAGAGAACACAACTACTGGGGTGCACCACTGCAGGACTGACAAATGGCTAATGGATCCCAGATTAAATAATCTGGCAAAATGGTTTAACAGCAATTTAATAACAGCAAGGCCTGTATTAGTTTAGTTTTCCAGAACAAAAGTGGGGCATTGCAACGACACCTTCTCTCGTGCATCCCCCAGAATACTGCTCAAACTCTTTAGCAGTGTCACACTGTGTTTGCTTACTTGGAAGTAAGTCTTACAGTGTCCAATGTGTTCAACAAGACTGAAAAGTATCACAAAGAGGAGACCACACAGAGACAGAGCAACAACTTCAATGCAAAACAGCTTGCAGAGGGAGCACACCACGCAGCAGGTCCCTGCTTCTGATGTGTTGTGCATTGCCTGAAGAGCTGGTATGACAAGCCAGGAGGGCCAATACACCACTGAGAGTTATTTCCTCTTAGGTTGACCTAATACATCTTTCTGGCTGAGATGAAATATAAGTTGGCATTTCTATATTCCACATACAGAAGTTAAAGAGAAGACTGGCAGTTGAAGCTGAGTTTGACACTGGTGATGGCGTAGTATCCTCCACCACACCAGCAGGCAGTAGGCTAGCACAAGGAGCACAAGGTGGGCCACATAATTCACTCACCTCTGCCCTCCGACACTTTGCCACCACCCCGCAACATCTGCTGCCTGAGGCAGCTGCCACATTCTGCCTAATGGTTGGGCCGGCCCTGAACTGGCATGCTGAGGATTCCAGCCTCCGTGTGTTCCTATCAGGAAATAATAAGTCCGCTTCTGGGTATTTCAGGCTAGTTTTTATACTTTCGCATGTAAAGACCTGCATAAGGAGTATTCATACAGCGTGGATTCAAATTTTAATAACCATGCAGGTGCTTTGTACACTTTAGAAGCACAAGAAAGCAGTAAGGAATGGATCTGGGCATTTGTAACAACTTCTAAATATTACTTAATGACAGCCTTCCTCAAAGGACCTATTAGGGTGTGGTTTGGTGTCAGTAACTAGCCTTTGGTTCTATGGCTACAAAGATTAAACAGTGCACACACTATATATCACAGTTAAAGGAAACCCTGAATTATCTCTTTGTTTCCAGACCTGTAATTCAGAATCAAAGCACTTACCAGAAATCACTCTTGAAGATTACTTGCGTTCTTTAGGGTTCATTCGTAGTTTTGTGGAGACGGGAATTGATCAATATTACAGAGCGATGTCTGCGTCTTGACCCAAGAACACAGTGAGCTTTAAAACTAGGGCTATTAGGGCCCTTGTAGCAAGGCAGGTGGATGGCAGGAGCCTTAAAAATAATAAAAAATGTGGCCCTTTCTTTTTGCCAGCTGTTTTGGTGTTGAACTTATAAGGCTGATCTGTGAGGAAGGTCTAGCAAATGGTGGGTGGCAAAATCTGCCCCCAAAACACCACCACCATATCAGATCACCTTCTTTTTCATCCCCACTGCATGCTTTGTGGAGGCCTCCTTTTTTCTGCTGGAATTTCCCCTCGGAAGTATGTTACACAGGCCCCATTTGCACCATACATTTAAAGCTGCCGTGGCTTCTCCCAAAGAATCCTGGAAGTGCAGCCTTTTAAGAGTACTGAGTGTTCTTAGGAGACCCCTATTCCCCTCACAGAGCTGCCATTTTTGGAGCGTTTTAACAATATCTCTTTGCAGGAAACTCTGGGAATTGTAGCTTTGTGAGGGGAAGTTATTCGATAACAACAAAGCAAATGTGAGGGGAGAACACGTCTGGGGCAAAAAAGCTTAGAAATGTTTAAGGAGCCATGTGGAAGGAAATTACTAAAAAATAAGGGGGAAAGTTGGGGGGGGGGAATAGCCAGAAAAAGTCCTGGGGATTTGGAGTTAGTTGCCCTCTGAGCATCACCTCCTTGTTGATGCAAACTTTAAGAAACAGAGGAAGTGTTTTACAGTGGTACCTCGGGTTAAGAACTTAATTCGTTCTGGAGGTCCGTTCTTAACCTGAAACTGTTCTCAACCTGAGGTACCACTTCAGCTAATGGGGCCTCCCGCTGCTGCCGCGCGATTTCTGTTCTCATCCTGAAGCAAAGTTCTTAACCCGAGTTACTATTTCTGGGTTAGCGGAGTCTGTAACCTGAAGTGTCTGTAACCTGAAGTGTCTGTAACCTGAGGTACCACTGTATACTGAAACTCTTAATTTAAATTCAGTGGGCCAGAGTAAGTGGACTGCAATTGCCAAGACAGTTCAAGGGAGCAAAATCTACCCTCACTGGGATCCCTAAATATTATACTTGAGTGTCCTCCTTAGCTCCCCCCCCCCCATATAAATCATTGGCTGCCACTTAATTCCTTTGGGGTAACTGAAACTAGGGAACATCCCTGCCATGTAGGCAACACCCACACCTCACCCCTTCTGCTAGTTGGCCCAGCCACCACTAAGAGAAAACCCTTATGGGTGGCAGACTGTGTGCAGAGCACCCAGAGATCCATGGAATCCCATGAGGATCCACTGGTTGGTGTCCCTCCAACACCCTGATGTAATTCTGTTGGTTGATATTAAAGATCAAAGTGGCAATGGCTCTATACTACATAAAACAATTCTTGGATCATCAGTGAAGGAGGTTGAAATCTTCAGGCCAGTAGCAGAATATAAACCACACAGACATTTGCTTAAAAAACATGAGGTAAATATAAAGTTTCAAGGTGGTCCATCTTTGACACAGTGGACAGTTGTATAACCACTGGTGAGATACGTAATATTTTCCACACTTCCAGATGCTTTGGGATAAGAAAGAAGCCTACCCAATTATTAG